TCCAAAATAAATGAGGACAGGACACAAGTGAATGACATTTGCTCTTTATTATTATTCAGCATCCTCTTGTACAGGAAGAGACAAAATTTAACAGCTAAACCCAATAATTACAATGCAGGGGGAATCAGACGCCAGGTTGTTGCCCCCCCAGGCTCCTATGAAATCCTGACCTATTACTGAATGCACAGATTTCCCAGCTGACATGGGTCAGCACATGAATATGAACAGTTTAAAGTGATACCAAAAATAATCCATTTCATAGTAATCATGTCTAATAAGCTCAGTTGTCCACTATCACAAATTCACAATCACAGAGTAAAATAGCAGGTGTGTTCAGGCCTGGGAAAGTGGCATCCATAAGGGGAGATGGATTTGAAGGCAAAAGCAGCTGTGGGTTTTGTCCCAATGTTGAATATCTATGTTAATGCTGGGGCTGGGGGGCGGGGGAAGGGCAGGCACTGTTCAATAGGCAGACGTCTCAGTACAGTGGAACAACTGTTGAGGCATTGAGCCCAAAGGGGTATGCCGTTTGGGTATCTTTGTCAGAGAAATTCTTGCTAAATAGACACTCACTTCCCACAGCCTGTGAAAGGAAATGCTTCCTACATTTGAATATTTAGGGGCATATGATAGGAGCAGCCAGTCTGATAGCAAAACATCTGCTTTACACAATATTTAGCAAGACACAGAGTTTATTACTTTAAATTGCAGTCTGATTCATAAACTACATTATTCCTAGGGTATATAAAGGATTAGAATGAAAACCTATAATACCCAACATCCCCATGATGAAGACAGATCATCTAGTACAGAAAAAGCCTTACATATGAGAATTGCTGAACACCAAAGCTGAAGGCACGGTGCAGGGATCCTTAATATCTTGAGCCTTTTATGTGAAAAAGGTATTCATTTTATACTAGATCCCTCTTACACATATGACCCTGAAAATTGACTAAAGGGAAGAGTATTTCAAATACTTCTACGGAGCAAGAATCACAGATAGCGTGAATTATCTTACGCTGTGATTTTCCTTAAGTTCTGAATTAGTGGGCTTCAAGTTAATGGGCTTCTCTATAGTTGCAGGCAGTCTGATTACAGCACTTTTAAATTAGCTAATTATACTAATTAGTGTGAGGAGAGTTCAATAGTGGGGGGGGATGTGCTTGTTTCTGAATCAGCGCAATCCTGAAATGGAGCTTCATTACTTGTCTAGCTGAAAAGCACCCTACACCAGCAGCTCTGCTGCCCAGTTCTGCATCTTGGCATTGAATGTGAGGGCACATACATGAGACATGGTGTAAGCACATACTCCTAGAAAAACAGAGTGCAGGTGAGTAAGAGTCTTGATGATCTCTCTGGGATAAAAGAACAATCTAGAGGCAGTGTTGTTTATTTCTTCTTCTCATGGCATGGTATTCGGTTGTCAAAAGATCAAACTCCAGCCAGCCAGAGAGAAACCATCTGGCTCAAAATCCTTAACAGACACTTTCCTGTCCTGAATTCCTCATAGTCAGGCTACAAAAAAGACAACATCAAACAAATTAGGCAGATTCTTGTTTTTCAAAGCACCCTAAGGAATTCACACTAATGGCAGTGGGACTGGCAAGTAGAAGAGGAGGCCCCTGGCCTCCAGTTGCTCCATGTTGCGTTTCCGTCAGCCAGAGCACAACACTGATGCTGTGCACCCATGCTGGGCACCTGTGCGCTCCACTCTTTCTCTTGTGCTTTTGTTTTGAAATCCCTCGATGATAGGGAGCAGCAGGGGAGGGGCAAGATTAGGACTCTTGTTTTAAAACTTCTTAAAAAGTTTTTGATTAAGAACAAGTGACAGTCATATTTCAAGGAATTTTTAAGCCTTTTTTTTAATGAAAAATATCTACATAACTAGCCCCACCATTCCCAAAGTCAATAGTCACACATCCTTCCACCAAAAAAAATAAAAAGTCTCAGGAGCACTCAGAATTCCTTCAGCTGCTGATGCCTATAGAACAGGATCCAAGGCCAAGGGCACCGAATAAAGTGGGTGTGTGAGTAGGTGGAAGCCCCCAGGATGGAACTGCTTTGTCTTCTTCCAAAGCCTTTTGTGAGGGGTAGGGGAAAAGGTAATAACTTTGGGGCATTCTGACAGCAAATCTCAGCATTTCTCACTCAGGGCTCTGTCATCAGGCTGCCCAGCCCCAGGAGGGGACATTCTTCCCTTCAGATGGGAATCCTCCTTCCTGGTACAAGTATAACCACACACCAGCTATTGTTTCAGATAAGCATGTGAGAAAAGGCAATGTGCACAAGTGTATACACACACGCACATACAAGTCCAAAAACAACAAAAATTTGGCTATTGCAGCATTAGCATTGTATCGAATCAACATCCATACAAAAACAGAGTTTGAAAGATATGTACAGAGCATTCATAAAAGCCAAATGTGCACTGCAAGGATAATGACCATTGTGGACTATACAGTCTTTTTCTACAACACACTGGGGAAAAAAAATCCCAGAGACCATGGTGGCAACCCCACCCAAAAGAATGCTGCAAAGCACCTGAACCAGAGAGCACAGGGCCTTATATAACTGCCTCTGAGTGGGGCAATCCCCACAGGCCTGTGCTCAGCGCCTGAAGGATATGTGCCACCCTCCATTGGGCCAGGTTCCTGCTTCCAGATCTATTCTGTCTCCACCAAGCTGCAAACTACCTGGCACCTCAGCAGGGAAGGGCTCAACAGATGCCAAAGGCAGCAGGCATTCCTTGGCTCTGGTCAATGGGGCCCATGCCTGGCTCTCTATTCAGTGAAGAGGAGACACCTGGGAGTAAGTGTCTTTTCCCAGGTCACACGCAGGCACCTGCCCGAGGAAATGCTGGGAGAGCAGGGGCTAACTCCAGAGTTTCAGGCTACCCCAGGTTTTCCAACATAGCCAAATAAGATTGACCCCAGCCTCCACTGTGGAAAAAGCAGGGGCTTTCTGGGCCAAAAATGCCATTGTGAGGAAGCGTAGGAGTATAGTGCTAGAGACCAAGAAGTAGTAAAAGTGGAAGGAAGGAAAGTTGGAATGCCACCTGGTCAGCACCTCTGGCATCAAGGAGCTCTCGGGGAAGGGAGAAGGGTCAACTGGCAGGAGACTGACTCCCCAGACTGAGACTAAACATGAGAGTTATATGAAAGCCTCCACTAAGACTGGTCCACTATAACCTACACACGTCTAGATGAATCTTCCTAAGGGCAAACCTTCTGCACAGGTATTAGTTTAGTCAGCCTCTATATAGGACTGTGAGGTAGGGGGAAGGATGGAAAACCCCAGCCATAGGGTCAAGTTTTCCAAGCTGGTGGCCTCACTGGTATAAGAACAGAAGCCTCCTGACTTGAAGCAAGTCTCAGGGCAAGTGTCCAGGAGTGAAGGGGCCCCCAGATGTCATCTGTGGCTACAAGGCAGGACTGCATTCAAACAAGAAGGCCTGATGACTGCCTTGGAGAGCTGTTTAAACAGAAAGAAGCTTGTCTTCTCAGTGGGTTTTAAACTGCTGTCCTTGCCAAGAGACCCTGGCTGTGCACTCTTTTGGGTTCCATAAAAATTTGCTACATTTTTAAAAGCACCACAGAGGAAAAATGGTTTGGCACCAAGGCCAGGAGGATAGAGATGCAGGGGTGGGGGAGATGATGTCGACAGTCTTTTGTCTGCTCACTGATAGGTAAAGACAGGTCACCTCTGCCCCTCTGCTTTCCAAAACCTCACTAAAATGGAAAGGAACAGCTTCTAAGACACAAGAAGGGGTTACTGAAAATGGACCAGCACCTGGCAATGACAAGGCTAATCCTGGAGGGGCCTTCTACCCCAGATCATGGGTTTCCCCATCTCCCTTGCAAAGAAATTTCTAAAAATGGACACTAGGATCTTCTCCCCAGGTGGGCACCATTGTTAAGGAGAAATGAGCCATTTAAAGTTAAACTTCAACTTCAACTCAATGCATCTACTAATGAAAAGGGAAGTATCCCTAAAGTTCGAAACCAGAGAGCACAGTGCCGAGGATGCCAAGGTCATGGATTTAATCTCATAAGGAGAAAACCTCAGCTCTCTGTCCCAACCTGTACACCAACCGGCCAGAAGCCATGGACTCTGCAGGCAGAGTCAGCCATAGAGATTTTGCCAGGGCTATGATTGGGCTCATGCCAGTGAGCAGCAGTTTTAGCACAATCAGTGCACATGTCTGGAGAGTCAAGGCCTGGGAGAGGCCAAGCACCCTGAAACCAGACTTACCAATCCAGGATGGTAAAATTCAATCTGGAGGAGGCAATTCTGACAACCATGTCCCTGCCCCTCATCCTTCACACATCCTGTCCTCCTTCCAGGTTGTTCTGGACATTCCTTTTAACCTGGTCAGGAGGGTAGGGTGGGCGTTGGGGAAGAGAAGTATCACAAATCTGTGAGGTTGATTTCCGTTGGCCCCCTATAGCCTAGATTATGTTTTATTTTATTGTGTTATTTATTTGTTTGTTATTATTCTTTTTGATTTTTGTTCAGTACTATTCCTGTCCTCAAAATGTAAGCCAGGACAGTAAGCACAGGACTGTTGAGGGGAAAGTGTGCTAAAAGGCTGTCTTCTCTCCCTCATCTCTGTGGCCTAGGCTTCCAGACACAGACAGGTCTCCAGTCAGCTGCATGGCCCTGGGGCCCAAACCTATGGACATTCTGGCCATAGTCAACTCCATGGGGTGATTCCTTTGGCATAAGAGAAGCCAGTCATTGAGAGGAAGACAGACTGGTGGGTCATGGGGGCTTCTGGAAGAGCTGGGCTCTCTGGCCTGTGGCTCCTTCCAGGGGTATGTGCATTCCCTACCCCCCTATTCCTGTCTCTGACAACTGACTTCCTACAAATCCACAGTTAGGAAATTATTTGGCAACAAGGAGGCTAAGGCTGTTTTGTGGTGGCACAGTCTTTAAAAATTTAAAAAGGAAATAGGAGAACCCTGAAAGAAGCTTTCATAATAGATAGGACACAAGTCCCACTACTTGTCTGAGTCAGGGTTGGCAGCCACTATCTCCTCATACTTTGGGGGTGGGTCACTGTAAGAGACACTTGCCTCCTCACTGCCACTCTCCTGGGGTGCAATCACCTCCTCGTAGGATGGGGGAGGAGTGGCACTGGACAGTCTGGAGAGAGAGAGCTCAGGAAGGTACAGGGTGCTCTCGAGGTGGACCATGGTTCTGCCCCCCCGACTAGGCCCCAGCACCACCTGCGGGTTGCTCCCCACCTCCCGGTGCCCAGAGGACTCCCCTTGGCTATGCACAGTGCCCCTGTACACCATGACCCGGGGCAGGCTGTGCCCGGTGCGACTGGCTAGGTACCGGTTCTGAGCATATGAGGGGTGATGACGGGTGGCTTTCTGCAGCTGGCACCTCCAGATGATGAACAAGGCAATGACAACCAGCAATGCCACCCCCAGAAGAGGCACCACCACATACATAGCATCTGAGCTCTGTGCAGGGTCTCGGACTGAGTAGACTGCATTCGGGTACCCCTTCCAGAACTCCATCTGCAAAAGAAAAAGGGCCACTTACACTTATACACAAGCGCTAATGCCCCAGATGGACCTCACAGTCCTTCCACAAGGCTGCTTCCCATCTCACCCCATCTGACTGGGCTCTAAGAGCTATCAGAGAGGCTATGGAATGCACCAAGGACAAAGAGCAACACACCCAAGTGAGCAGTCCCCTAAAGTCAGGTAGATGGGATTCTAAAGACATGTTGTCTATTCTTCTATGGTCCTAACAGCCTTGGACTGGGTTGGCCTTCCTTCATGCTTCTGATTCATCTGAGGCACCTGGGCCTGCCTTTGTTATTCCTGAGGCTACTTCTGCTCCCAGAACCCATCCACAGAGCAGTACATGCCGTTTTCTCTTTGTCCTCAAACACCTCCTTGACCTCCTCGTAGCTGCAGATCTCCTCCATGCACTCTCGCTCGATGGTACCCTGGCGCAGCTCCTCCAGGAACTCATTGGCACGAGGGAACCGTTTCAGGACCGAATGGGCATTCTTGGCCTCCAGAAACACTGAGGAGAAAGTTATACTGAAGCCTGGAATGGGGAGGTGCCCAGGGGCTCCTTCAAACCAGACTCAGCCCAGGCACAGAAGCACAATCATGGAGGGAAGCAAGGCAAAGCCAGCTGGCTAGCCAGCACCCCAGACATGGCTGGCTTTTGGTAACAGGGGTGGAATGGCTGACTTTCTGTGATGCCATGATGTATCTGCCTACAATACCATGGACCAAACAAGACTCAGGTCTCTGGTACTATGAAGGAAAATGGGAAGTGTATGTTATATAGAAACGATGGACGTGAAGGATTTTGAGTATTGTAGTCATGAGTGAAAAAACACCCAGTATCTCCTGCCTCATGTCAAAATGAGAAAATCAGGCCTCTTATTATGAGGGTTTATTCTTCTTTGAGGCTGATGCTGGTGACCGATACCAAATAGCATCATAAGACTCTATCCGGGTGGCTTTCCTCCACCGAATGACCACCTGTGCTGTCAGATTACCTGGCACTGATAGCCTTGCCTAAGACCGTCTAGCAGAAACCCAGGCAGGGGTAAATCACAGGACTGAATGTGCAAGAATCTGGGAAGAGGGTAACATGCTTCATAGGGAGAATCTAAGCCTTTGTTGACTGTGCACAGATGCCTCCTGGAAAAATGTCATTGAATGGTAGCCCTATCTACTTATTCCAAAGGGAGAAACCCAGCTACAGTTGAACTGACCAGTATAATATGAGCTATGCCCCTCCATAAGCCTGACCTGAGACTTTAAGAGAATATAAAAAGAGGCAACATCTGCTCCTGATATTCCTCTAGAGGTTAAGATTTCCTAGTTCTCCTGTCAACCAGCCCCTCTTGTGCCCAGGCAGGTGGGGTTTTGCTAGCAGATAGGCACCCTTCTCCAGGCCTCATGGCTTGTCATACTAGTTTCTTTCATAGTGGGGTAGGTGCACATCTCCAGGTGAGCATGTGCTCCAGAAAAAGCTAATCAGACAGGGGCCACAGGGACACCGTGGGACAAAGAAAGCTAGGAAGGGCTTGAAAGGTGTATATGCACTTTTCCCATGAGTCCTTAGGCATGGCCCTTTACCACTTGGCCTAGGATCAGAAAAACTCACCTGCCATAGTGTTCCCTCAGATCCAGTGTCTCACTTGCCTGGCAAAGGAGAAAAACAGAGTCACAGTGAAGTCACACCCCAAAACCTATAGGGTACTCTCTTGGCCCTAGAATGTGAACCACACCCCCACTGACTTGGTCAAAGGTCAAAGCAGTACCTTATGAGGCACAGGGCTCTCTATACAGCCACCCACAACTCTCCTACTTCCCATTCTACCCTGAGCTCTCCTCCAGAGCTGCCCTAGGACTTTCAGGGCCCAAAAGAAACCTTATTGCTCTTTTTCCCAAGAATATTCTGAGAGTCTAGAAGACCTAGACCTTTACTTTTTTCTTTAAAAAAGAAAACCTACAGACAAAGCTTCCTCCTTCCTTGCTTCCTTCAAGGAATCTGTGCACTTTTGAGTTGGAAAGGACCTCAGAGATACTGGGACTTAGACAAGGCCTAGCAAATCAACAGTGATAGAGAGATGACCCGTTTTGGAAACTAATTTTGCTCACAATGGCAAGTCCCAGATATCTCTAATGACAAGCACATTCCTTGAAAACAGGCAGCACCTATTTCTTAAATATATCTGGGTGTATCTGGGGGGGCTGAAATAGGCCCCCAACCTATTTCAAGCACTGTCAAAGCTTACTGTGGCAACAACAACCATCTCAAAAGTGACCTGCTACATTTGATTTCACCATACATGGTAGTAAGGATCTCCTGAAACTAGTCATCTCTCGTCTCTTTGCATTAAAGAAAACTGCAGCAGAGTACCAAGACATTGATTGATGTGATCAAGACTGAGATGCTAACTCTGTGCAAGTGTTGCCTCTGATGTGAACTATCGTCTGAAAACTTCACTCCTACTCAGAAATTATCCAGCCAGTATGTAAACCCCAGCCATAGCACACTGCTCTCCGCAACACACACTCCCACTCATGCACTTATTCTGGAGCACTGGCCAAACTGTCCTCATCTGGGAGCAATCACCCTACTGCTCCCCTCCCCAAGCAGAAGCTCTGGTTTTATAACTAACTGGATGCAGGACACGTGAATGGTGTAACCTATTGTGCTACCCTTTTTGCCTAGACTGCTAAGAAGTTCAGCATTAACATTGACCATCAAGCACAAGCGCCTTGGATGCCCAGCTGTTAAGCACATATGCTTCTCCCCTGTGACATGGTATACACTTTTTAATTTTTGTTTTCAGAGTCTTAAGTATCTTTAAAATATATTTTCTAATCCTTTTGGCAAATAGGTAGGATATAAATCACAAATAAAATCAAAGCTAAAGGAAAAACAGTAAATCTAACATCCATCTATGGAAACACCATGTCAAGGGAGCTTTTCTCTTTTAAACTCCAGAACAATTGCACCCAAAACTATCAACATGTGATTCTGTCCATAGATGGGCCTGCTATTGTGAGAAAAGTTGACGTCAATGTTTATGAGAGTGAAGATGGAATATTATCTCTAAATTCTGCTTCTAGTGTGGATCTCTGAGGTTCCCCAAGAGCCAACTCTGGTCATGTGACCAGGGTGTGGGTCTGTCATGCCTAACAGCAAGGTTTTTGACTGAAGAAAAATGGAGCTTTTGTGTCAAGGTTTGAAGAGAATGAGTAAAGGTTTTGCTAATAAGTGAAGATAGAAAAATATGTTTCATTGCTTATCAGAGACAACTGCAACATTTTGTAAAATTTTTATGTGGAAAAATTACATAACAGCTTACATAGAGCCACCTCTTGTCCCAAAACACCTGACTTTGGTATGTGCACACCCACACATCTCATATCCCAAAATGTGTGCTATCCTGACACCTGCAAAAGTTATTAGTTCATTTTTAAGCTTCAAACAAACCAGGAACTACCCCAAACAGCTCACACGGTATAGCCCCACTCCATTAACAATTCTGTAGCCAAAAAACGTCACTGCTGCTGCTGCTGCTATGAGGCCTCCTCCCCCTCTATCCCCCAAATGTAGTGCCTGCTTCTTCCCCTATAAATACACCACCGATAGGCTGTTACTATGGCAACAGTGAGGAAGCATGAGGGCTCCACCACAGAGAATGCTGCAGCAGTCATGCATGTATATGTTCCTCCTGCCCCTGGTGGATACTGTAAGGCTGACTGTAGGCCAGAGGAATTTTTAACCCACTCCCCACAGGAACACAGCTGAATCCTGAAGGCCTGGGAAGGAAGGAAGGCCACCACAGAGACCTTCCTTAACCCCACCCCAGGCTTCCGAATCATACTGCTCTGGGACATGGCTCCCAAAGTCCCTCGCATGGGACTGGTGACCATCAGACCTGAAGTCCCAAGACCTGGCCTCCAAATCACTTCAAATCCAAGCCCTCTTCATTTCTCTCACTTAGAACTGATCAGTTGGAAAGCCCCTGTGGTCTCCAAATCTTATGACTCATTAGCCCACCCAATGACACGGAACTCTCAAATTATGCTCCAACTGAAACTCTGGACCCTCCTAGTCCCCTTCCACTTATGCCAGCCCTCAAAGTGCCTGTCTTCGCCCTCCATAGCCCGCCACCAGCGCCCTGCCCACAAACTCCTGCTTCTGACCCAACAACACTCTTCTCACAGGTCTGCTGCATACCCCCAAAGCCTTGGACCAGCCGGGCTTCCAGATCCTCCCCCAATAGTGCCCTGCGCCCAGTTCAGTGGCCCTGGACACCGAACCGTGCCCTCGGGGCTGGGGCGCCCAACCCAAACGGCCTCACCGTTCTCCGGGCCCGGGAGGCGGCCGCCCTCTTTGCACACGCAGCCCGCCACCTCGCTGCTGCGCCTTTTCCAGCAGGGCCCCTGTCCCCGCCCATCTGCTCCCCGTCGGCCAAGCCCCCCGGCCCAACCCAGCCTCCTCCTCCCTCCCTCCCTCCCCGCTGCCCCGGGCGCCCCGTGCTTCCCCGGCTGGGGGTCGAAGTGCTCCAGGAGCTTCCGCCCCTCGCAGCCGGTAGCCCAGGCCTGTTAATTACCTCGGTACCCCCCTGCCCTGCTCTCCTTTAGGGGCTCCGCTGTTGCCCGCCCCCCTAACTCCCCGCCGCGCCAGGTCTGGCCTCGCGCCCCGCGCCTGGCGCGCCACTCTCGAGCGCCACGACCACCGTGACCGATCGCCAGGCCACGAACGAACGTCGCGCCGCACCGCGCACCCAGCCGCCAGGCAGAGGAACGGAGAAGGGGTGGGGACGGTTAGAGCGGTCCTAGCCGAGTAGGGAGGGCTGGCGGGTGAGCTGGGGCGGCGGCGGCGGCGCGCACCAAGCACCACGCGCCCGCGCCCCACTCTACCAGCACCGCCCCCGCCACTGCCGCCAGGGCTGGGAGGCGGGGCCTGGCCCGCAGGCCAGGGGAGCGCCAGTGACCCTCAGCCAAAAGTGCGGGTTCCAGACATGCTCCCAGGCGCAGGCACTCGGAAACCCAGGAGCCGCAGCGGGCTCGGTGGGCGGAGCCCAAGGCCCGAAAACCAGGTGTCCCCGAGCAGCCCAACCCCACCCTCCCAATCGTCCCCTACCGTGACTCACCTGTCATTTCGGCCCGCCTCCAAATGCCAGTGGAGAAAAGAGGGGCGTGGGACAACAGCCTGGGTCCGCCTTGCCAGGGCTCCTATGGGCCCGCAGAATAAAGGCCGGCTCGAGGCCGCATTCCACCAACTGGGTGACCTTGGCTTCTTCACTGATACCCTCCCCACCCTACCTTGTGATGGCAAGCTTCTCTCCTGTCAAATCTGGGAAATGGGAAGAATCCTGCAGCTGGACTGCAACGAAATAAAGGAGGAAATGGGTTTGGAAAACACTTCAGGTGCAGTAGGGGAGAGGAAGGAATCTCCTGGGCCTGCATGTGGAGCGCTGGGTGGGTGGGTGGTGGACTGGGGGCATGCAGAAGGCAGCGCTGTGGGAGGTTCAGCATGACAAGACAAGACACTAGTAGCACAGTGATGACACAAGTCTAGGAAGAACCAGGCAATGAGATGAACTGTTCTAAGAGGGCTCAGGATCTCCTCTGCCAAAGCCACCTAGGAGGGGCCAGGCGCTCTCTGCTGAGTTTTCAGGGCTCTTTTTGTTCTCTGCACCTCTGGAGCCCAGCCATGGCCTGGAGTTGGTGCACCCTCCTTCCCAATTTGGTGCTTTGGGGCAGACTCCAGGCAAAGAAACTCCAACCTGTCCTGCCACCAAGTGACAGGGAAAATAGGGGTAGGGAAAGATCTCCATCATCTCAAGGCCTGTTCCTGCCCAGCTCTCAGGATTATTAGAAAACAGCCTTGACTGGGTGAGCTCCCCCTTTCTCCTCTTCCCCCATTCTCAATGGCGCTTTCCCCTCCATCTCTGCCTCCAGTTCTCAGAGTCCTGTCCTGGCTTGCTTGCACTTTCAAGGCTTCAGGAGCTCCCTCCCTGCCCAGGACAGACCCTCAGCACCCTCCTGCCATTGAAGGCAACAGGACTACAAGCCCCTAGCCTATGAGGCAGGCTTCCAAAAAAAGAAAAAATGGACACCTGAAAAAAAAAATGACCTGAGAATAAGAATGGGGCTCCTTTGGGGTCCAAAGACTGTATACGTCTTTGGCACTCTCAGTTCAGGGGGAGGCAGACTGGGTCATGACTGATAGAGGAAACTTTTTGGGAAGCTTCAGGAATTTACTTTCTGGGTCTCCTAGTCCACCACCATGTCCCCATCCTGACCTTAACAACCACTATATTCACAGGAGACTTCACCCAGCTTTCAGGGTATGAGACAAGGGTCTATGTTTTCTGCCCTCCTCCCAGCCCCCTACCCAAGCTTCTGGCTCCAGCACCAGCAGTCTAATAGTTTCCTCTCAGCCAAGAATGCCTTTCCTCCCACTATCAGCCTCTGTGCACTATATATTCATTCTTCCCACATAGCTCAGATGACATCATCTCCACCCTGAGGCCTTGTGGGATTCTCCACCCCCACTTGTGTTGACTGTTACATTCTCAGTACTTAGTTTGCAGAAACTATAACTGGGGGGGGGGGAGGAGGGCTCTGTCTATGCCAAGGGTGGGAAAGATTCACAACAGCACCTGTGCATCATGG